CACCATGCATTGACCTCACACAAGGGGTGGCCCCAAATTACCTAAAATACTCATTAAATTTGAAGTAAATACCTTTCAAATTTGAACTATACTGCAATCATACTTTCATAAGAGTGTCTAAGCATTCACAACAAGCTGTAGGAAAAAACGAGTGTCTTTTTCAAGATAACTTATAGAGCAGGGACTGTCCGTACGAGTTTGGCAAAGAGATCAAAAACATATGCGAAATAGAGCAATCTTAAGACAGCTTGTTCATATCACATTCACTAGCACAATGCAAGACTCGTATGTAATTACCAGCTGGGAAGCAACTAAGAAATGACATATATATGGTCAGCTGCATTCTCTTGAATATTGCTTGGGGCAGGTAATATTGAATACAAGAATTTGAATATCAAATCTGTTCCCTAAAACATCTCATTCTGAAAACAAGAGTGGTATTTCTTTAAGTGTATCTTGCATTACTTTCAAATAAGCGCAAATAAGGAAAATTTCACACAAAAATACTTCAATTGGATGCACTCATGACTGTTGAATGTAAGCATCTGCTAATAACTATCACATAATTATGGCAGGTGCTTATCTGAAACAGAGTTCGTTTGCATCACATGTCAAGCAGGTTGCCAGCTTTATAATGCTTCTTGCTGCAGAAAAAACAGGTTGCTAATCAAGTAGCTAATATGGCAAGGGAAGATCATTCCTCGTTTATCGTCGAGGATACAGGAATAAGGAATCACGGTGAAATTTTGCACATGGATTTAAAGCCTTTAGGACCACAGGAACCCCTCTTGCTCTAGAGACATTGCCACACTTGCAAGTGCCTTGATTGATTGATGATCATTTTATGTGAGAAATAAAGTTAAATTATTTCACGAGGCTAATTACATCTAAAATTTTACAGCCTGCCCTTAATTTGCTTGTTTTATTTTGTTATTTGGAATAACATGGCATAAATGGAGAGTATATTGTTTGCATCTGTTTCCATGAGATTTGAATTCAATGAATCATACAAAGACATAGACTCGAAGCATAGAGAGCAAGTGAAACATAGCAAGAGAAAAGAAGACAAATGCATTGGTGTTATGATTAGCTTCTAACGATACCTAACAAAAGTACAGTTGGGTTTTAACAAGATATTGATCATGGTGAAATTTGAACCGGTGTTTATCATATTATTTTCTTCATTATAGGACACAATAACTTATTTCACTAATGTGTTCATCTTTGGGGACTCATTTTCAATTTGCTATGAATCTCATGTCTCACTGTTTGATTTCATTCACTGTCAGGAAAATGACCTTCACAATCACGATCCAAACCCTGGTTTGATTACCAATGACAGAAAATCCAATTGTAGACAGTACAAGCGCAAAACATGAACTCAACCTGCCAAGCACTTGTTTTTCTTTTAAGAAAATGAACAAAGTTGTGAGAAATCAAATATGCCCAAAATGACCAAAAATAGCACCACTGTGCCAAAATGCCATGTATTAGTATACCACATGCTATGGGAGACAAATAAGTATTAGAAAAAGAGATAATTAGAATAAGTTCACCGGGGAAGCTTGCGCCTTGCATTTATAATTTTTTTTCATGAAATCTTCAATTTTCTCAGCAGTATCATACATACTCTTCAGTTTGACCTCCTCCAAAAGCATATGACATGTTTGATATTTCGGTACTATATCTTTACTGATCATTTCCTCAAACAGATGGTAAGCCCACTCGCATTTGTTTGCTCTGCAAAGGCCATGAATTAAAAGAGCATAGGCTGATCTATCAAGACTTAGTTGATGCTTTTTCACCATGTCATCCAATAATTGACTCAACAAGTTCATGTCTCCAGTTCTAAGGCATGACTTAAGCAATGGGTAGAATGTCTGACCATCAAGTTTTAAAAGTGCTGATGTTTCCATCTCCCTGAGAAGACTAAGGCCCTTTGATACATGACCATGATAACAGAGCATAGCAATCATGGAATTATAAGTAGATGTATCACGGGAGACCCCGGCATTTGGCATCTCCTTCTCAAAAACATCAATAGCCTCCTGAAATCGGCCAGCTCTCCCTAATATATAAATCAAAGAATTGAAAAAAGGTGTATCAGGTTTACATCCGGCTGACTTCATTCTCTGATTTAGTTGTAAAGCCTCCTCGATATTCTGTGACTTGGCCAGAAAAACAATGATGGTGGTGTAAGTAACAACATTTGGTGGGCACCCTTGCGCTTCCATTTCATCAAGGAGCTCATAGACCTTAGCAAAATTGTATTGGCGGCAATAGAATAGGATGATGGTAGAGTAGCTGATTACACAAGGTCGAAAAGCATGCCCTTTCATCTCTTGGAGAGTCCAGTGTGCTTCATCTACTAGATTGGCTTTACACCAACCATGAATAAAAATGTTAAATGTGTAAGCATTAGGCAAAATGTGTGATTTAAGCTCCAAGAAGATAGGGCGGGCCTGCTCAACTTTGCCCTCCTTGCAAAGCGTGTCGAGCAACAAGTTCATAGACTCCGTATTCTTCTCCAAACCAAATGTTCCTAACTCGTCAAACATCCTCACAGCATCTTCCCATTTTCCTGCCCCCGAAAACCTTCTCATAGCCTTACCCACAGTGTTAAGTGTAACTAGATGATTTCGATTCATTTCCTCTAATAACTCCCTCATTTGATCCATTTGTTTCATTTTCCCCAGAATGTCCACCATCATTTCATATGCCTCGGGTCTATGCTTGTAGCCAGGGCGTAATCCAGCCCATCTAAAAATACCCAAAGCCGATTTCCAATCATCCTTAAAGCGGAGGAGTAATTTGTCAACAAGAGCATTAGAAACCTCAATGTTATGGCACACTTGTTCGTGCGCCAAAGACAGAAGAATCTCATCAGGACTGCTTCCTACACGAGCTTTGGCAGCGACTAAGTTCACAGTCGACTGATTTCTAGAGTCTAGACAGTTATCTTGGTAATCTAATACAGTCGTGCTTGTAAGCACGGAAGGTAATTGAGGAGGAGAAACGCACGAAGAAGAAGAAGATGAGACAGCAAGAGAGCAATAATCAACACGACTAAAAACTACACGGGCGTTTCTAAGACAGCCTCGTAGTACTTGTACCCTGTTCATTGGTCTTGATTTTTAATAAAATTACGACCACTAAAAACAAGTAGAAGAGAATGGGTACCCGAAAAATTGAAGAGCTGAACC